AAGTTCCCATGTGTGAGTCTTTTTTGAATCAAAATCTGCTCACTTGAAGAGCGTATTTTCTGATGCTTTGCAGTCTCGGTGCTTATTTCCCGTCTTCATACTTTAAAAGCTTAAATCCATAGCTCAGGGATTTCTGGTAACAAAAAGTCAGTGGCTGGGTTGCTCTAAAAAGATGATGTATAGGGATGTTCTGGTTTCATCATCGAGAAAAACTGATCATGATGGTGGTGATTCACATCTCACCTCGACGGAGGGCGGGATGAGGAGGTAACAGGTGCTAACTGCACTGCTGAGAAGTGGAGACAAAGTTTGCAACTGGAATCATCCCCTTTCCCCGGACGATGTATTCATTCATTCACTCGGATAACCTGGGGACACCTTTCCGTGCCCGGCTATGATCTGAGTGCTGGGAGAAGCAAGGTCTCTGTCTTCAAGGGGACAGATATATTCTCTTCATAGTTAGCGGGAGGACACAATCAATCAATAAACAAACAAGGTGATTTCAAACTACGGTACAGCAGACTGATGTGATGTAGAGTTACACAGAGAAGGGCCTCTCCGAGAAGGGGCCATCTGAGCTAAAACCTGAAGCATGGAAAGGGACCAACTATGTGACAGTCCAGAGGAAGACCTTTCCAAGCAGAGAAATCTGCAATGGCAAAGAACCACAGGCAAGGGGAGGACTGGCAGGTGCAAGAGGGAGCAAGTAGGTTGCTGTGCTGCGGGTACAGGGAGCAGGACGAGGGTACTGAGGACAAAGCAAAAAGGCAGAGGCCAAACCCTGCAGGCTCTTATAGACCATGCAAAGGGTTTGAATTTTATTATTGTAAGTGCAGCAGAAAGATATCGCAGGAGTTAAAGCAGCAGTGCTGCCAGCTAATACCTTTAATACCGAGCGGTTAGTTCTCTGGAAAGCAGGCTGGAGGCAGGAGCAGCAGGAAGCCCGCTGAGCCACCCTGCTGGTCAGTAACGGCCACACAGAGCAGCAACCTGGAGCGGAAGAGAGATGGGTTCTTGACCGCAGAGCCTTTCATTGCGGAACTGAAGAGTATGCGCGTGAACTAGCCGTCCTGGGAGTAGGCAAGTGTCATGTGGCCAGAGTCAGGGGGTGGTGAGGGGTGAAATCAGACCTTTCGGTCGGAAAAGGGGGGTGTTTGCCACCATGAGGTTTCACCTTTAACCTGAAATCAACGAGGACGTTCTGCAAAGGACACTTCTTTCTTACCATGGCGTCACTGTCCTCGATGTCCTTTGCTAAATAAGTATTCGTAAGAATAAACTTGCCACTCATCCACTTGACCAAGATTTACCTATGATGCAACCTTCTTAAACAAGTCATGGACAGAGAGACGGGTACGCCTTATCCACCCCGAGCCCCTGTATTCTGACCGTCTTCCTTCTCTCTTGCCTCAGCTGCTGGTGGCAAACAAAATCACTTAAGTCAAATGAGCAGTTTTAAATGCATAATATTAAAAATTTTTTTAAACTCGTTGAAACCCTTAGCCATTGTTAAAATACACTCACTCTGATGGATGTGTTGGCTTTTTTTTTTTTTTTGAGCCTTTTCATCGCATTACCTTATCCGGTGCATGAGAGTTAGTCTGTTCTGCAGAAGAAAACAGACAAAAAGGGTCTCTCAGCACGAGTTACTCTTGTGTAAAGGTTATAGTAAACATGTCAATGCCTAATTAAGCAGAAAATTTTATCTGTATTGTGGGGGAGGCATTCGCTGTCTTCGACTTTTCTTCTGGGGAATCCATTTAGAAGGACAAAGTAGATTGTGAAGTTGAGCTGGTCCGGAAAGCTCTGCTTCCAAATGTCAGCATCAAAAGAGAACACTTCGTTTCTCCTTGTGTGAAAACACTGTACTGGCTGAGCAGACTGTGTGGTGTGTGTGCGTGCACGTGTGAACGTGTGTGTACGTGTGCATTCTCAGTGCCTACACATGCACACATGAATGTATATTTCATCAACATACAGACAACATAACATGAATTATTCCCCGGCTTCCTACTATGGGTCAGGCCCTGTACTAGGCTCTGAAAATACTGAGATGAATGAAACCTGGCAACACATTAACCAATTAGGATGACTGAAAGCCCCCCCCCCTTTTTTTTTTTACCTACTTTGTGTGTAGATGTATAATTCTTTGTTAAAGTAATCATATTGCCCATAGATGTGGTGACTCTATGTCTTAGCCTGGAACCGTCCTGGCTAATATGTACTGTCCCAGTGTATGGGTGATAAAGCCCTTTTAATTCTCAGAAGTGACCCTGTTTGATTGGTAAACTTTGCCTGATTCTTTGGAGTCTTTTGCTTGGCTCTGTAACAGACCTTCTCCTATGACTATTTTTTGCAAACATGCAAACTAATCCAGGGTGAAGAAGATGCAGTGAGGATGGGGAGGTGATCTAGTTCAGTTATTCTAAGCTAGGATTTTCTTGCAAGTAGTGACTACTTATTAACAGTTGTTTGACTACATTGAGAAGCTTTTGTTCCTTCAAATCAACTTATGGAACCAGAGACCAGCAACATCGGTTTAATGAAAAATTCACTTGTCAACTTGCTAGCAAAGCAAAAATACGACACCAATAACAACAACAAAAAAAATGAACCCAACCACAAAACCAGTGGCGAGGCTGACTTTTTACATTTCATCTTGTTTTATGGTATCACACCCTTAAAATTGTGGGCTCCAGTCTCCAGTATTTTGACCATTCTCCCCTCCGAGGTGGTTATCTATTTAGTGACATTTCAGTGAAATCCCACTGCTTAACCTTTAACCTTTAGACCTCTGCAAAGTTTTCCTATTCATTAGGTTGGTAATAAAAAGAGAGCAGAGCCTAGTGGTTAAGACCAGGATTCACTCATCAAACAGACTGGGTTCATGCATGACTCTGCAATGATAACTATGTGGCCTTGAGAAAATTTCTTAACCTGAGAGCTTCAGTTTCCCTGTCTGTGAAATGAAAGTAATAATAGTTCCTACTTCATATGGATATTAGATAAAATGAACGAATGTATTTGAAATGGTTAGCATAGGTCCTAGGAGACAGTAATTGCTCAAATATTCTTCATCTTCAGGGTGGTATGTATATACAATGGAATATTGCTCTGCCATAAAAAAGAGTGAAATGATGCCATTTGCAGCAACATGAATGGACCTAGAGATTATCATACTAACTGAAGTAAGTCAGACAGAGAAAGACAAATATTATATATCACTTATATGTGGAATCTAAAAAATAATACAAATGAACTTATTTACAAAATAGAAACAGACTCACAGACATAGAAGACAAACTGATGGTTTACCAAAAAGGAAAGTGGGGGAGGGATAAATTAGCAGTTTAGGATTAACAAATATGTAGCACTATATATAAAACAGATAAACAACAAGAATTTCCTGCATAGCACAGGGGTCTAAATTCAATATCTTATAATAACATATAATGGAAAAGAATCTAAAAAGACTATATGTGTATGTGTGTGTGTGTGTGTATATATATATATATGAAAAACTGGGTCACTTTGCTGAAACTAACCTGAAACTAACACAGTATTGTAAATCAACTATGGTTCAATTTAAAAAAACTAACTCTGGAAAATAAATAAATAAATAAAAATCCAGATGAAAATATTCCTCATTTTCAGTCTTGGAGCCCTTGGAGTTCCTGACCGCAGCTGCTTTACTCCTAATAAAGCCCCTTCTCTCCTAACTCTCTGCCTGCCTCACAGGCGAGACCTCCAATGCTTGATCACCCCTCCTTCAAGCATTGTCCCTGGTGAATGGAAATAAGAGCACTGCTCTAGGGTTTCTCACAAGTTACCCACCTGCACTGAATGGGGATACAGGACCTCGTAAGGGAAAGACTGCACTGAGGTCACGCAGGCCTTGCAAATCCGAGACTGACTCTCCCTTGCTTTGTCGCTTCTCTGGTTGCATTTTATCCACATGGCTTTGGAAAGTCCAGGTGGAAAAAAACGAGCACATGGACATTAATATTCACACTCCTCATCTCCATTGATGGATATTTGCCCATTAACTCCCTTTGCACCCGCTCTCTCCTGCCTTCATTTTCCCTATGCAATTACTGGTCCTAAATCCTTTCAGAGAAGGGAAGGCATGCATCCCCAGTAGCATTTTGCATCTACAAATCAAATGTATAATTGGCATCTCATGACGGGTACCCACAAATCACAGTGCATTTGAAATTACAGGCACAAGATCGAGAGGGCATTTTCAGCCTGGTCTGAAAAGATCTTCATAAACCTGTTTGAGAATAGCAGGCTAGCCCCCAAATCCCGTATTCTAACACCATTTGCTATTACTTTAAAATCATTCTATTTGCTGAGCTTACTTAATTTTTCAGCTATCAATGGAAGATTTTATTTGATACTCCATAATTGCTCATCCTGCTGTGTGACTGTCTACAAATAAAAACGTGTTAACAAAAAAGACACTGGCTATCCAAAATATAATGACTATGCATCGAAATTACTTCTGAGCACTCAAAAATGATTTGTTAAAATGATTGTATGCCAATAGAGCCAAGTGTCTTGGTAAACCTTACCATGAGGATGCCAAGGGTCAATCAAGACTTAGTTTTCTTATGAGCCAACGTCCTTCTCCACAGAGATATATCTTTAATCATATTTGAATTTCAGTCCAGCTTTCCTGAAAGTCATACATGTGAATTTAGCAACTGTCCTGTTACAGAAGTATTAGAGAAATATTCCTTAAATGTGAAAATTATTAACTTGGGATTCTAGGCACTTATAAAGAATTATGACTCATGCCAATTTTTTTTTAAAAGGCATTAGATGGCTTGAAAGACATCATTTGGCTTTTTCCTGTATCTGTGGCTTGCAGTTCATTAAAGTGTTGATTAAATTACTATTCAGTTTCCTATAGGAAGCACTTTGCCGAAGTGGGGAAATTGGGGTGGAATATGGAACCTTGTGTTGTTATTTCATCCCTCCTTCTTCTTCCCTTGCAGGCTACGCCCAGGAGGAACAGCTGAAGGAAGAGGAGGAAATCAAAGAAGAAGAGGAGGAAGAGGAAGACAGTGGTTCAGTAGCTCAGCTTCAGGGCAGCAATGACCCAGGAACAGATGAGGAGCTAGAAACGGTGGAAACGGGTCCTGAGCAGAAAGGCTGCTTCAGCTACCAGAACTCTCCAGGAAGTCATCTGTCCAATCAGGACGCCGAGAACGAGTCCTTGCTGAGTGATGCCAGTGACCAGGTGTCAGACGTCAAGAGCGTGTGCAGTCGAGATGCCCCGGACAAGAAAGCCAGCCTGCACCCCAAGCCCCCAAATGAAGCCCACAGCTGCATGGATAAAATGACCGCTGTCTATGCCAACATCTTGTCTGATTCCTACTGGTCTGGCCTGGGTCTTGGCTTTAAGCTGTCCAACAGCGAGAGGCGGAATTGTGACACCCGAAATGGCAGCAAGACTGATTTCGACTGGCACCAGGACGCTCTGTCCAAAAGCCTTCAGCAGAACTTGCCTTCCAGACCCGTGTCGAAGCCCAGCCTGTTCAGCTCGGTCCAGCTGTACCGGCAGAACAGCAAGATGTGCGGGGCCGTTTTCACCGGGGCCAGCAGGTTCCGGTGCCGGCAGTGCAGTGCCGCCTACGACACCTTGGTCGAGTTGACTGTGCACATGAACGAAACAGGCCACTATCAAGATGACAACCGCAAAAAGGACAAGCTCAGACCCACGAGCTACTCAAAGCCCCGAAAAAGGGCTTTCCAGGACATGGACAAGGAGGACGCTCAAAAGGTTCTGAAATGTATGTTTTGTGGCGACTCCTTCGATTCCCTCCAAGATTTGAGCGTCCACATGATCAAAACAAAACATTACCAAAAAGTGCCTTTGAAGGAGCCAGTACCAACCATTTCCTCGAAAATGGTCACTCCCGCGAAGAAACGCGTCTTCGATGTCAACCGGCCCTGTTCCCCCGATTCGACCACAGGCTCGTTTGCCGATTCATTTCCTTCTCAGAAGAGCGCCAACTTACAGCTGTCCGCCAACAATCGCTATGGGTACCAGAACGGTGCCAGCTACACCTGGCAGTTCGAGGCCTGCAAGTCCCAGATCCTGAAGTGCATGGAGTGTGGGAGCTCCCACGACACTTTGCAGCAGCTCACCACCCACATGATGGTCACCGGTCACTTTCTCAAGGTCACCAGCTCTGCCTCCAAGAAAGGGAAGCAGCTGGTGTTGGACCCACTCGCCGTGGAGAAGATGCAGTCATTGTCCGACACCCCAAGCAGTGATTCCCTGGCTCCCAAGCGGTCAAGTAACTCAGCTTCTGACCGCACGGCCTCCACAACCGAGTTAAAGAAAGAGGGTAAAAAAGAAAAACAGGAGGAGATCATCAAGGATGAGAAGGTCATGAAAAGCGAGGACTATGAAGACCCTCTGCAAAAACCTTTAGACCCTACAATTAAATACCAGTATCTAAGGGAGGAGGATTTGGAAGACGGCTCCAAGGGTGGAGGGGACATTTTGAAGTCACTGGAAAACACTGTTACCACCGCCATCAACAAAGCCCAAAACGGGGCTCCCAGCTGGAGCGCGTACCCGAGTATCCACGCGGCCTACCAGCTGTCCGAGGGCGCCAAGCCTTCCCTGCCTCTGGGCTCCCAGGTCCTGCAGATTCGACCCAACCTCGCCAACAAGCTAAGGCCAATTGCACCCAAGTGGAAAGTGATGCCGCTGGTTTCCGTGCCCACAAACCTGGCCCCATACACTCAAGTTAAGAAGGAGCCGGAAGACAAAGATGACGTCGAGAAGGAGTGTAGGAGGGAAAGTGCCCAAGAAGAGGCGTCCTCCTTCAGCCACGGCGAGGGGCATTCTTTCTCCAAAAGCGAACTCCCTTCAGAATCCAAAAAGGCTGAGCCTTGTCCCCCAGAGGAGGAGGACAAGCTGACGAAAGAGGGCGGGGAGAGAGAGAAACCCCAGGCCTTGGAGCCAGCATCTTCTCTCAGCAACGGGTGCACCCTCACCAACCACGCTCCGGCCCTGCCGTGCATCAACCCGCTCAGCGCCCTGCAGTCCGTCCTGAACAATCACCTGGGCAAAGCCACGGAACCCTTGCACTCTGCCGCCTGCTCCAGCCCCAGCTCAAGCACAATGTCTATGTTTCACAAGTCGAGCCTCAGTGCCATGGACAAGCCAGTTCTGAGTCCCGCCCCGACGAGGCCGGCCAGTGTGTCCCGACGCTACCTGTTTGAGAGCAACGATCAGCCCATCGACCTGACCAAGTCCAAGGGCAAGAAGGCCGAGTCCCCGCAAGCACAGTCCTGCACGTCCCCACCCCAGAAGCATGCTCTGTCTGACATCGCTGACATGGTCAAAGTCCTCCCCAAAGCCACCACCCCAAAGCCCGCCGCTTCCTCCAGGGTGCCCCCCGTGAAGCTGGAAATGGATGTCAGGCGCTTTGAGGACGTGTCCAGCGAAGTCTCGACCTTGCATAAAAGAAAGGGCAGGCAGTCCAACTGGAACCCTCAGCATCTTCTGATCTTGCAGGCTCAGTTTGCCTCCAGCCTCTTCCAGACGTCGGAGGGCAAGTACCTGCTGTCCGACCTGGGTCCACAAGAGCGAATGCAGATCTCGAAGTTTACGGGACTCTCGATGACCACCATCAGCCACTGGCTGGCCAACGTCAAGTACCAGCTCAGGAAGACGGGCGGGACCAAATTCCTGAAAAACATGGACAAAGGCCACCCTATCTTCTACTGCAGTGACTGCGCCTCCCAGTTCAGAACCCCGTCTACCTACATCAGCCACTTAGAGTCTCACCTAGGTTTCCAAATGAAGGACATGACCCGCATGGCAGTGGAACAGCAAAGCAAAGCGGAGCAGGAGCTCTCCCGGGTCTCGTCGGCCCAGAGGTCCCCGGAAACCATAGCTGGCGAAGAGGACACAGACTCTAAGTTCAAGTGTAAGTTGTGCTGTCGGACATTTGTGAGCAAACATGCAGTAAAACTCCACCTAAGCAAAACGCACAGCAAGTCACCCGAACACCATTCACAGTTTGTAACAGACGTGGATGAAGAATAGCCCTGCAGGTATGGGTTTGCTCCCAGGTGGTCGTGCCAGTAGCCCTGGGAGGAGCTTCTAGAAGGGAGATGGGTCTGTCTAGAGGTAGCTAACGTCTCCCTGTGCCAAGAGGACAGTAGCCTGCTGGAATCGCACTCATTTTTACAAAAGACTAGAACATGATAAATAAGTCCTAACCACTCTCTCCACTTGCCCAGCTTAACGCTGGGGAATAGAACACAACGGGCTTAGGGAGACGGAGCTCACAGGTTACTGCTTCGTGAGACTCTCAAGGTCCAGCCAAGGCTATGCCTCATTTTAATTACTGAGTACTGCCTTCTCTTACTGTCCCATTTCACCACCTTATCTTCCCATAGTTAATGCTAATGACTTATAAAGCGATAAAAACTTAAGGGAAAAAAAGGTGAGCAACAGAGTAAAGACTGTGGAGTTCCTGGGGGCAGCCCCTAAGCAGAGATTATTCAGCTCATAAATAGCTTAACGCTGTCTTTATCATTATTACGTGTAATTGATGCTTTTTGCAGCTTACTTGCAGCAGTTGCTACCTTCCACCCCAGCCCCTCCGCCGCCCCTTGTTTACCTCCTGTCCGTTCGGCTTCCTGTAAACGGGCACATGCCCTGTAGTCGGATAGTAGAATACTCGTCTCTGCAGAGCACTGAGGTGTAAAGAGAGGAAGTTTATTTTCTTCTCTGGTCTTTTCGTTTTCCTTCGGCTAAGGCTAGTATCAGAGGTAGACGCATTGCATGGCCTTGAGCTTTGATTGTCTATCAAGACACAAATGAGCACACTCATACGGCCAGTGCACCCAGGGTTCCATGGCTTCAAGACAATTAGCATCGTGTATCATTGAAGCTCCGTGCCTGGCAGAGTCACCAGTGCCCAGAGTATCTATATCACCTTCAGGAAAGAGGGCAGATTCTAAGGTCGAGTACCTTGGCAGACTAGTCACGCCAGCCATTTTCAAATGTTGAGCATAAGCAAGGCTGAAATCCTTTTCGTTTAAGTATTTCCTCTGTCTCCCTTCCAGCATGATACTCCTCGTATGCTAGGGACCCTCACACATGTTCAGGTTGTCCTCCATCTTGGGCCACACCCCAAATGGGGACCCAACCTGATTAAGCCTTCGGCACTTGCCAGTCCAGTTCATGTCATGCTAGGTTATGGATTAGCTCTTTTGGTTAAATTTGCAATAAGATCTGGACGGCTAATAATGGCATACGCTTGACCCTTGAATAACGTGGGGGTTAGGGGCGCACATCCTCTGCAAAGTGGAAAACCCATGTGCAACTTACAGCAGGCCCTCCATATGGTGGTTCCTCTTTGTCCACAGTTCCACATCCGCAGACTCAGCCAACCCTGGTCTACCTAGTGCTGTAGTATTTACCGTTGAAGAAACTCTGAGCATAAGTGGCCCCACGCAGTTCAGAGTCATGTTGTTCAAGGGTCAACTGTATAAGCCCTCACCACCTCCTACTGTCAGAGCACTTGTTTCTAAATAGGAGACTTCCAGATCAAGCCACCACGCTATGAGCACTGACAGAGTTCCAGGTGGGGACAGGTATTTATATGATGTGGGTTTCGGCCCACTTCACATCACATAGGGAGATTTTTTGAATGGGAGGATGGAGGGTCAGAATGAAATGAAGGGTTAAATTCTGGGACTGTTCCCTTGGTGAGAAGATCTAAGAGCTTCTGATAAAGGGGAACCCATCCTATAACTCTAATGGCTATCTGGACCCAGATGAAGACGTTTGTTTTGTTTGCATGCTATTATCCTGGTAATTAAAATGTGTTGCTGGCAGATTCATCTCTTGTTTCCCAAGCATGATTTGTTCAGCTCACAATGTTGAAAGGAAAGCTGAAATACACCTACTGAATCCACACATGAGCTCGGGGCTCCATGACACCTATTTATTTGCTATATAACATTTTTAACTTTATGCAACTAGTTATTATGCTTTTCTGGTCCTTCAGAAAAGAAAAAAAAAGTGGATATGCATAGAATACACAGAGAGCAATGTTTCCAGTCCCATAGTGGTAGGTCCAAACCATGCCAAAGAGGACAAATAGGTGGTGTGTGTTTGTGCTGCAATAAAGACCAATTTTCCACCTGTTAGGTGCATAATCATTTTTCAAAAATTAACATCCCAGCCAAAACACTGCAATATGTAAACAGGGGAAGGGGAGAAAAAGAGAGCCTCAGTCAAAATCTGAAACGCACATCCCTGTTCTAGGGAAGGAAAGGTAAACCAATAATTTGGAAAAACCTACTCAAAGGTACTTACACGTCTATTAAATACATAGGCAGGACAGCTCTTTTCTCATCCTTCTGCACTGGTACAGAGTAAATATTTCTGATTTGGGCCTTCAAAGCACCATATTACAGAGTTATCATTATATGACGACGAAGCTCCAGTCTTACATAAACGCCGTCATGCTGCGATTCTGAGACAGGACTGAAGGAAGGCAGGTTTGAGTGTTTGGGACTCATTCAAAGCGATGGGTGTGTATATGCGTTGCGTGTATATGAAAGATGGTGCCGGCGAGGTGTTTGTGTTGATACTAAGTGTATTGCCTTCTGCCTGAATGGCTTCCACAGCTGCACAAAAGGTGGCTTTCTGAGGCTTTGGACGCCTAGAAAAGAATTCCTCCACCCTACGGTACTCTTAGAACTGTATTCATGCAAAACCTTGCCCACTGCTTAGAATTATGCATATATGTTTTTAAATGATCACAAAATGCAACCATTGCTACCTGGGACTCTAATTTTAGTTGGTATGCCTGATAGCACAAATTGTACAAAGTGACATGTCATTTTAGGAAGCATGGTCAAGATTTTACGGAGAATTTGGGAGCTTCACCGTATCTACATTCTGTGTAAGATGCGGATTTTGACCTGAATTTTCTTACTTTTCTTAGCTATGTCTTAAATCCTGCAAAATTGTTGGCCAAATATTAAAAGCGACTTTTCATTAAAAATTAATTGGAAAATGTTCACTGTGCATCCCTATTTTAGGGCATAAGGAATCTAAAACAATTTCAATAGGTATTTGTATATACCTTTAAAACCCACCTGCTCTTGAATAATAGAAATTAAACAGAGAGCGAATCAGTGAGTCTAAAATGCATAAGGACTTGAAATGATAGTCATTACTGCGTAATGCAGTGTACGAGTTTAGCAGCACACCTGGCCTTGAAATTGGTGGTGGGAATGAATTCTAGTCCAATAAGCTGCCACCTTTGTGGTGGATGATTTGATAAAAATCCACGTTCAGGGTGAATAGCATGTGAGGTTCCCAGATAAAATGCAGGATGTCCATCCAGTTCGATTAGAATTTTGAGTAAATGACAAGTTTTTAGAATAAGCATGTCCCAAATGTTGCATGGATCATATTTACACTAAAAAAAAGTGTCTATTATTTATCTGAGATTCAAATTTCACTGGGCATTCTGTATTTTTATTTGTTAAAGCTGGCGACCCTAACAGTGCGGGTTATATGGCAGCCTGGCGAGGACAAAATGAACAGGACTGACTCGTGTCCCGCAGAGGCATCAACCTTGCCTTTATCCAGTAAATAGTCTTCCCTTCCTTTCCTCCTTTTTGCCTTCCTCCCTCCCATCTTTCCTTCCTTCCTGTCCTCCCTCCGTGCGTTCCATTCATCTTCCGACAAATACTGGCTGTGCTTTACTGGGCACTAGACTCTATCCGCAAAGGGTACATCACGGCGACCCGACAGTCGTGCTGATGGTCGTAGCCAAATGCGCCGGGCCTGCAGCAAGCACATTGCCCACGTGGTTTCCCTGGATTCCCACGAACAGCCCTATGAGGTAGGGGTTGATTCAACCACGTTGCAGGGGAGGAAGAGGAAGCATAGAGATTCTGCATGAGTTTCTCAAATTCCCGCCATCTCTGAGCCTCACTCCTTCATTATCACGTATCCAGAAAGCCACCACTCCGTGCCGAGCACTGTGCTAATCCCAGGGAATAAGCCAGTGACCAGGACAGGAGTCTGCCTTTGAGGCCAGTGGCAGACACGTCGACGGGCAGCTCCGGGGTGAGCGCTGCGTGGAGCACACAGGAGGGGCCCCTGCCCAGCCCCGGGGGAAGCCGAGGAGGGAACGCGGGTACCAGGGGCGGCTGAGTTCGGGCTGCCGCGGCCCTCGGGCTCCGTTCAAACCCTGACTGTCCCACTGTCTCTCAGCTATGCCCCCCGCGTCTGTGTGTATGAAAGAAACGTGGACATAATTCTCCCCTCATAGAAGAGTTGTGAGAACTAAGTTAAGTAAATGTGTGGAATTCTTTTCCATTAAGCCTGGTACGTAGTAGGTTCACAAGGAAAGTTAGTTCCAGGCAGTGTCTACAGGCTTCTACCATGTTCTTCAGCCTCAGCTGAACTTGTAGTGTTCCCCAGTTGAGCTAATTAATACCTAGGCAGGTGGCCCCAAGGAAAGTGTGACCTAAACTATTTAATTATAATGAAAGGAGTGACAGGGAGACTACCAGCCTCTGGCCTCTGTGTGAGCCCGGCGTGGGGATTCCCATCATCCTGAGTTTGCAGAGGGCCCAGAGGCTTTCATGATTTGTCTAAGGACACACAGGAAGTGCAGAGGTGGGATTCGAACCTGGGACTGCCCAACATTCATCAGGTCTCTTCTGCCTCTTGGCTTCTCCTCCGTCTTGCCTGATGGCGTCCAGGTGCTACCCAAGGCCAAGTATACATCCAACAGTTTAGAAGTGAAGTCTGTAAAATGTAGTAGAAGAGTTGAGAGGTGAGGTAGGGCTCTCCTTGGAGACAGCGGGGCCCGGGACTGACCTGGGGGTGAAGCATCTCCTCCTCGCTCTCTGTTATCATTTCCTCGCTCCATCATGTGATCATCTATTCACCATACAGCCTCTCAGCAGGAAATGACCCAAATTCCAGTGAAAATAGATATGTGAGTTTTTTTTTTTAAATCCTCATCCTGACTCTCATTTAGGGGAAGCAAAATGAGAATTCGGAAACAGGGTCAGCCAGGATCCGCAGCGTTTCTCACTCGGCGAGAAACGAACGCCTCACCTCTGCTCACGTCCTCCTTTCACCCGCGTGATCGGGCTTTTTTGCATCAGTGCATCGCCATCTCCGTTGCACTTTCCCCCCTCATTTGGACTTCTGAATGCTCAATCCTGACGTGTATAATTTGGTGCTTTAATATAGAGTAACATTATTTTTCATTTACTTCAATCTGCCATCAGTATCATCTTTTCATTTAACCAGATGCAATTCTTTTTTCTTTCGCTAAATTGAAAATCCATGAGCGACAGGGAGTGCAATGTTTTAATTAGCTCATATTTTTTATATGGATTTATGTCTTTAAAATACATTTGAGTAATTCTTCAGCTAAATTAAAAACGTCTTTCTGCAAAAGTGAGGAGGGGAAAATAAAGAGCTAAATTGTGTCATTAGCTTAGGTAGATACAGAGAGCAGGGTCTGGTGGAGACCCACACCATCATTAGAGCCTCTCCCTGAGCGGATTTTTAACTCGCCCTTCATTGAAAGGAGTCTTTATAAAGATTTTTCAACAATGGCTTCAGGTGGGATTATTTTTTAAGGCTCCTAGTAAGTAAACAAGCAGTTACCTTCAACGAACTAATTTGAAACTGAATCTTCCGCCAAACAAAACAGGAGGGAAAAAAAAAAGAAAAAACAGAAGTCATCATGATAAACAGTTTTCTCCTGCATTTCTCTCTTTGTCTTTTTTTTTTTTAACGATCAAGTTTAAAGCTTTCCATGGTGCTTTTTTTCTACTTTATAGGAGACAAGTGACATTCCGTGGTAAATGAGAGAAAAAGCCATGCAGAACTGAAATCTTTCTAATGCACTGACACCAACTTGCCCTCTATTGTTGGAAATGAGCAGGCGCTCATGATTGTTCATCAAACGGCTCCTAATGCAGTTAAAGCATTCAGCTATAATTTCTCCTTGCATTTATAATTACTGTCATAGACTGCACACCTCGGTGAGCAGATTAAAGCTATAAACTATTTAGCCGCGGCTCTAAGACGAGGAACTTGATTTGTCTGGCAGGAGTTATTTGTTAGGGAGCTTGACACTTCACATAAAAATGACTCAACTTGATGAAGAACAATGCAGTTTTAGCAATGCGGGGATTTTAAATCAGTCACGACGCCACGCCCTGCAAGAATCGCAGGGCAGTTTGTTAAATGATATGTGGGCCACAGAGATAGCCAAGTGCGTGAAGGGAACCAAAATAGAAGAGGATGTGGTGTGCTGAGCTTCCTTCCCCGGCTCTTCCTCTGAAAGGCCAGGAGTTTGTTGAAAATCGCTGTGGGTCACGTTCTCCGATTAAATCCAGTGTAAATGTTATGCGAGGCTCACCTGATAGGAAAAGGGGCTGCCAGGAGCCCAGGGCGCATGTCACAGTTGGGGCTTTTCGAGAACTTTGTGCCGCTGTTGAGAACGTTCATTTCCCAAAGCCCAGGAGTCCAAGGCTCTGCGGAACGTGGTGGCGATTGTTTCCCTGGAATAGTCTTTATTCCTTTGTTTGTTTGTTTTTCTACTGGCAGGAAGCATGTGGTAGGTTTAAGGATGGAAGGTCCTTCTATGGGGCTCATCTCCTACCGGTGCTATGAAAACTCCAAAAAGTAGGCTACGTCCAGATTGATGAGAGGGACTGGCCCATACCGGGTGGCAGGCGGTGCGGCTCCCCTTCTCCCCGCTCGGCTTGGGCCCAGGATGTGGTAAAACAGCACACGTTCTGTTCTGGGCAGGGCTGGGCACGGGGTCTGGCCGCAGAACAAGCGCTCGACACCTTCACTGCCCTCTCTCCACACCCCACTTTGATCGCCTGCCTCCAAAAAATCCTCTTGTGTTTGCTTAGGGTTTAAATCGAGACGTGGGGTGGATTGTGCCATTTGATTTGAAGAAATTAGGAGAGACTGCAAGGGTGGATTTAACTAAAACAGCTCTGAGGGGAGAAACAGAAGTACCGGGTGGTGTTTGGTCACCCCTGAGAAAGGACAGAATAGAGCATTAACCTGCATTCCTCCCCCTCTGACTGCCCCCCTCTCTCTCCGCCACCAGCTACCTTGAAAACTTCCATCTGCTTCAGTCCAG